GTTTTTGCCTATGTGACTAGACCTATACTTTGTGTTTGCTTGAATCTACTGATTTGCACATGAATATTGGACTCTTAAAAATCTCTTACCACTGATTTGCATGCACCTATTTTCTTTCATGTATGCAAAAGCTGCCAGTCAGAAATAAAAGGGCACAAAAAATGCAATAGCTGAGTATTCAAAGTGACCATTTAAAATCTGGTCTTGTATACAGAGAACAAGCCTTTCTGTCCAGTAAACTGACAGAAATCACTTCTAGTTAAATCATAAATACATATTACAGTGAAACACTGTTGGACAGTGCTCCATCATCAATCAGTCTGTGTTCTTGAGGACACTGTTTTTCAAGATGCCTCCTTTAAGAATAAAGCCCTGTGTTGTAATGAATGTGTGCTAACTGATCCTCCAAGCCATTTGTAATTTTTTTTTATTTGTATCAGTGTCAGAGATGAGCTTCTGTAAGAAATTTTTTTGCAGTATTTTATTTGTAGTCGTCATTATTTCAAGTTAAGGACACAAAACTCTTTATGCACCCAGAGTCTGCACTGGTTCGTTTATGTCCTGTATTTTGTTAACATGTTACTGTGATTGCTAATTTTCATGACAATTGTTATTGTACCATCAGTGCTTAATGGCAAGGCATCATTATTCAATGCTGGTCAATCAGGCACTAAGACATGTGCAAGACATCAGGCTGAACCCATATAGATGTCGTGCACTCCCCTGCTAATGAATGCAGTTTTGTAAAAAGGTTTAAACACGGTTGGCATCCTTAATGTAAGGTTTGCAAAAGCTTATTCGGGAACTGCTTTGTGTTTATACGGAGCAGATCTAAACATGGCACAAACAGAGTTAGACCCATTGTGTGTATGTGTGTGTGAAGCTGTGGAGAAGGGGTGAATCATTTTGGGTTTTGAAAATGTGGAAGGGCAGCACAATTTCTGCCCTGGCCGGAGTGAGGGGAACAGATTTGCCAGGAATGTCAATGTTCAGTAGTGGATGTGGGACCTGTTCTGCAAAGCAGAGGTTGCCGTGTGCGTCAAGGAAGTGATTCTCAAAATTGGACGGTGTCATAAAGTTGGCACTGGCTGGAGGGGCCCTCCAGCATAGCAGTGGTTGGAGGTCAGGCATCTAGAAAGGTGGAACAGAAGGAAACTCAAGAGGAGCGGGATGTGCTTTCTGCGTTGTTAGTCCAGAGTGCTCTTCCAGTGCGTCAGTTGACATTACCCTTGCATCTGCTTTAGTTACGGTTTCTGTGTGGTTTTGCACCCAAATATTTCGGGCTGCTGTCCATAATAAACTAGATGGAACTTGGGTTTAAAGCACAGATTTTTCATCTCTTCTAACTGAACGTAGAATGAGCCCTTGTGCTCCTAGAGGCTCAAGTATGAAAGGAACAGTAGACACTGGCTGTTAACGAGCTCCTGCGCACAGGGCTCCAGCAGAACTTGGTGTGAATTCAGTGCCTGAGCTGCATCGACTAAATGGTTAATTCATCTCATATCAACAGCACTATGATTCATAATGTAAACTTGAGGAATCCTTGATGTTTCAGTCACACATTCCTCTTAATTTGGCCATGCATTCTTTTAAAGCTACAGTGTGCTAACTTAATAAAATGCAGCATGCAAATGCACAAGTTTTTGCCTTCAGGCATTTTAGCCATGGATGTTTCAATGGGTGTCTTCTTTCAAGTATATATTCTTTTTTAAATTATTTACCCTGTAAACATGCTTTGCATTTTCAAAGAAAAATCTGGGCTCCCTCATTCACCAGATTTTGTTGAATTTAAGGTGTAGTAGAGATAAAAGACCATCATCTGCTTCTTGCAAGCATGTTAGCCTTTGGGATTTTTTTGCAGTGAATGTTAGGCCCCATTTTCTTCTCCTTTGGTATTATCTCTCCCTCCCCCACTTAAATTCCTTGATGCTTTGCCTAGAGCAATACCCACTGGCAGTGTCTGGCTGTGACAGTACTATAGGCTTCCCTACAGATGGGTCCTGCCAATGCCAACCATTGTTCTACAACTGTGAGCTGGCTTGACTGTCTTGGATCACTTAAAACCTCCTTTCCTCTTCATTTGTTCTTGGCTCTGAAGGGTCGCCCTTGCCTGTTGACTTTGAGATCTAAAATGTGCTGACACCTAGAACTTGTGTTCTGTGTCTGAGCAGCAGCTCCCAGACTTGGACTTAACAGGCACTATTAAGTCCTCCTTGGGACTATCCTGCTGCTGCCAAACTGCTCTGTCATTCTTCTCCAAGCCCCATCCTTTGGGCAGTATGCAGGTAGTTTAATTTTACTTTCTCACTTGAAAGAAAACCAGTAAAACTCAATGTTATTCTTTTTTTTTTTAAAGATATAAAATTAATCTTTAACTGTGGGCTTGAATATTAAAAGTATATAATGCTTCAGTGTAGGATTCTGTTGATAACATCCAGCCTATTTCATGATTAATTTGTTCTTTTTAATATGATATTCTTTTGCTGCACTGTGCAGACTAATTCAGATTCCTAAAAATTGAACTTTGATATGTATTTCCTGGATTCACACTGTAAGTAAACCTTCAATTAGCAGATACAGGTGGTGGCATGCCTGATTTTAGAGACATGGACACTGATTAAATAATCTTACAATCAGGTGTGTACTGCCAGGGTATTAAAATAAAATATTTGGGGGATCTGATATTTTTTTCTTATTTTTTCTTTAGTTTTGCTCCTCAGCCAAAGCAATAATATTTTCAGTAGGCCAGAGATAGGAGGAGCTGATTTAAACACTCAGTATGTTATGTATGCCTTTGCCTAACTATGTGTTAGATTAAGCGAGTTTCACTCACAGTTAATCCTTTGTAAATTAGCATTATGGATGCCTTGGGGCCCACATCCCACAAATAAAATGGTTGTCATGCCAGCTGCACTGTGTATTACTTAAGGCTGAATGTTTTAAGAGTTTTCATGCTTTTAATCTATTTCACTGCTGAGTTTCAATTTTGCTGAGTGTCTTTTCAGGAGTGATGAGGGCTAGTGAGTAAATATATATTTTGGTTTTCATGCATTTGCCTGGGCAAATCGTTTGTTATCAGGTGTTTGCAGAGAATGTCACACCCCGCTACAAAAGAGAAGCTTGTAAGTTCAGGTGTTAAATTGAAGTGCAAACCAACGAGAACCAAAAGCCCTTAATTAGCTTTATTTTGTTAGCCTGCTACACTTTTTTTTTTTTAAGGGGAAAAAAGGAGTGAGAAACATCCCTCCCTCCTCCTCATCCTTTTGGCAGAGTAAATATTGCCTGTTAAGTTTGAATTAGCTGTCATCGCGAAAGAATTAATGCTGTGGTTGAGCCTTTCTAGTGAGGAAGGGAAAAATAAACGAGACAGATCTTAGTTCAGCTTTAAGTGATAAATGAGGACAAAGCAGCCCATTCATCTCCTGCTAGGAAAGTGGACACAAACACTAAAGCAGTTTTGCGGAAGACGTGTCAGCAAATGTGATCATTTTGTAACCTGTCAGGAGGATAGAGAGCTAGTCCTTTTAGAGTGTCACAGGGGAGGGTGTCTGTCTGATGTGACAGTTTTCATCCATCCATTTATTGCTTTTTCTTTAGGTGGGGGGTAAGCAAGGAGAGAGCTGGAGTTGGTTAAAACCGCATTTTTCTTTACACTTTCCAATATAATTTATTTGTATATCCACCCGCGTCCAAATGAAAAACATTTACCAAGGAAAACTCTCCTCTGCTCTCTGGAGTTTCTTCTCTCTTTCACTGCGTGAAATATGCTCATATTAACACATTACACTCCCTGTCTTCAAGTTGTACTCGGCTTGATGTTTCACAAGACACAGCTTTACCTCTTCTTACCATTGTTTGGTTGGTGAAGGCTTTGGTTTGGTTTGGTTTGGTTTACAGAATCATGAGAAAAAAAATAAAAATAAATATAATTTGGTGTGCTTTTATTGCGTTTGGTTTGTTGAGGTTTTTTGCTATAGCTCTCCAATTCTGGTGATAAGCTTTATGTACAAATATGTTTTGCTAAAGATCCTGTTTCATGGAGAGCCTGTGAAAATATTCTTCCTTCTCTGTGAGAATGGAATAACAAATGCTGAATTCTTACAATCCAAAATCCTCCATAAAATGCCTCAAATTCTACTGTTCCTTCATTTAGTAATTTTATTTGACGATTAATTTCAGGAAAAGTCTGTAGTGATGTGGTGTCTGATTTTAAAAGCAGGGATTTCTCCCAACAAATGATTGAAAAATATTAGGACTTTCTACTTCTGGCATCTTTTTTTTTTTTTCACTGATTTCCATTTTTTTATACTACATAGAAAATGTAACATTTGCCTATTACCATAAGTAAAGGTATGCTACAGAGACAGGAGATGCTTTTACAACATAAGCTTCACAGTTTGACACTTGCTTCTTTATATCATCCTTTTCTTCAAAACTATCTTTTATACTTTTCCCTTGGTATTTTAGTACAAGTAGGTATCTCATTGACATGTGTTTCCTTGAAATCTTGTTCCTTAATAGTAAAATCCCTTGAAAATTAATAAATTGTTTCTGTTCAGATTAAAAAAGCCGTGAAGATTTCAGAAAGGTTTTAAAAAATATAATGATACTTACTATTACAGACCACCCTGCTTGGTTGCATTGACTGAGGACTAATTATTTCATTTGTTCTTAGGAGGTTAATAAATCTGAACATAAAGTATTTCATTTATTCTAATATGTGTATAAGTGTGTACATAATTAGGAAAAGTCTATTTCTTTCCTGAATGAAAAAGTTGGATTTAAAAGCTACATAAAGAAATGTTTGGAAGCAGTGGAAATTGGCAGAAGTAAAAATAATCAAGATACACAAAATAGTACAGAAAATCCTGAATTTGTGGGCATGTGTCTTTTCTCCAATATATTTGTGTTCCTTGTTTTATGATTTTACGTATATTCTGCTGTTTTGTTTTATTTTGTTTTATTCACTGGGGTTTTTTGTCTCTTCTGCTCTTTTCCAGGATCATCCAAAACAGGATTTTGATCGTTGTTCTGGCAGTCATCATCATCTTCACCACCATGATGGCTATTTTTTTTTCTGTCAGGGGACGCTGATATCTTTGTTCTTCACTAAACAGCAACAAACTGCTTGTTCTCAGTAATTAAGACAAAGTGGTCACATGAATCATTCTCTTGCACTGACAGAGTCTCCCTCTCTTTTCCACTCTTCAACTCAGGTGCAAGTGGTGTAAAATATTTTGTATTATTGATGGCATAGTTGATGGCATGTGGGGCTATCATTTTCTTACATTTTTTGTCTTCAGGATTTTTGTCTTCTTGTTTTCAGGATATTAATATTTGTTGGAGTGAGGGCTTGTTCTGATTTAAAAAGACTTAATGTGTGTTGAATTCAAGCTCAGACAATTAGTCTGTGAATTGCCAGAGTTTAGCAAGGGAAGAGGGATCTTTGCACTTATCTTGTGCTATGAGGGGTGTATGAATATCAAACAGTATCTGACTCTCTATTATATAGAATATAAGTAAAGCAAAGACCAAATGATGTAGAAAGTGAACCTGACTCCTGTGACTAACTCCCGATCATGCATTATCGTAATAGATGTAACTTGGTTAAGAATAGTAGCCAGTTTTAAAAAGAGAGCAACCTTAGGATGATCTTTAAAATCTGATGTGAATCCAGTACTCAATTTAACATTTTTTTTTTGTTTATAATTAGGCTTTCTCTTCTGCTTATTCAAAGCAATTCCACTTTCATCAAGATCATGAAAATGCACCACTTACCTAAAATGTAGTTGTGACCACAGCCCATCTGTTGAATCTCTTTTAAATCTTCCATTGTTGATATATGTACTGATAAGCGTACACACTAGGCCCTAAATGAGGACATATAAAGATTCTTATCTATTTGTTGCTGATTGAAAAGAGATCCTAAGTAATAGCTCAGCGACAAATGTGTGATTATAGTGCATTAAACAAGAATCTAGATTTTTAATATTGGCCTGACTATGCTGAGACTGCATGTTGGAAATATTTGAAGTGTATTAAATTCTAATGTGATATTCCCCTTTTTAAACAGAAACTGTAAAAATGTTAATTTATACATGCTTTTAGTTGATATAATATATCATAGTTTCATCTACCTGTGTGTAAATGAGCTGTTTCTCTTTTCCTATTGGCTGTGCTTCTCCTATAGACAGGTTGAGCTCGTTTGGCTTATAATTAAGATAACAATTCCAACAAAGGTCTATTGCTAGGGATATGATGAAGTACTTTTCATGATAACTTTTAAATTCATTATTTGCAATCCCTTACAAATATTACAAATTGAGAGGAATTTTAAGCCCTTGAACTCCAGCCATGAAATCTTTCCAGAAAGATGTTCAAAGAAACAAAGAGCTGGTGAGTTTTAAATTCCTCCCCACATTAGGCAGCACCAAATTTTCATGTGTGCCTTAGTACTTCTGGGATTTTGGCATCCCTGTCGTCTCTGCCGATTTGCTGTGCTCCTTGGGAGCTGATTTTGAGATAAACATCTGGGAGTTGATTTTGGCCCTTAATATGTCCCCTGTTTTCTCTACATGGAAAAAAACCCAAATAGTTAAAAGATTGTGGTACCGATGCCACATCTAAGACATAGAAAGATGGTGATAAATATAAAATGAAAGGATGCACAGGAAAAATGTTATTCACTGAAACGAATGGGAGCGTGTGTGGTCAGCTCTGGTGTCTGTGTATTACATGCAGCTCACAACAAAGTTTAGAAGTGGTTTATGTGCCAGGTTTCCCTACCAGCTCATGCCAGTGGCTGTAGGATTGTGCTGGTACAAAAGTTCCTGAGTAATCCAGACCCGTGGTTGCAGGGGGTGCTGTTCTGTGCAGCACAGCTCAGTCATGTTCAGCTCCTCACCTCGATGGCCCTGCACTGTCACAAGGTCATGGGACCCCCACCGGCCGCCTCCTCCTGGGGCGTCCTCCCCTTTCATCCTTGTGAGGTGTGTGGCATTTACCACGTGGCTTTCAGACACGGAAAGATTTGGGTGTTCAGCTACCAGCCTTCAGTCACAACATGCCCACAAACTAAGCACTTTGGGTTGTGTAAGCAGAGCTCTGGCCGTTAGCTTCGAGTGATGGCACTGAGCTGAGTTCAGACAAATTAGGATGAAACCTGGCAGCATCAGGAGATATTTATCCTCTCCTCGGCAAATTAGGAGATGCATATTCTGTAAAGCAGAAAACTGTCAAGAAGGAAATCTTAAGCTCCGTCTGTTGCCTAGACATTCTCCGCGTTGCCTCAATAATTTAACTATCATGGGAATTGATTCATGACTACTGATCTTAACATTGACCTATGACTAGGTTTTGCCCTCTATCTAGCCACCTGCTGGAATCAGCAAAAAGCTGAAAGGAAGCTAGTTTTCCTTATCCCAGTATAAATCTAGGGCATAGTGTCACATCAGATACATCCACTCAGATAGAAATGAGGGAGAGAGAGAGACTGCCACGCAAAGCCTTCATCTTCACTTTTGATGAGCCCGCCATCGCTATGTTTCTCTTACTAACCTGTTAATAACTCCTCTGTGCCTGCTTTGCATCCTCGAGTACTCCCCACATGTAAAACAGTGCTCAAGTGGACATTACACCCTTCAAAACACGATATTACTCTTCAGTCTCCCCTTTTCATCCGGCTCAGGAAGTGTGGGGGTGAGATGTACCAAATCCACACATTTTGGTGGGGACTGAGTGACTTCGACTGAGAACACAGCCCGAACCACCCACAGGTAGGGTGACACCCCCGGGTCCACGCTTCCCCTGAACTATTTTGGTTGCATTTATAGCACATCTGTGAATGAATCCAAGTGCTTACAAATGTAAACCTCAAAGAGCAAAATGTTTCTAATGCTGCCGGCCTTTGTGGAGAAATGACAAATTAAAAAAACGCACGCACGGTGCTGTGTGCGAAATTCATCCTGGCTAAACAGCTGGGCTCACAGAATAAATAAACTAATTCTGCGCTGATACAAAATCAAAAGCAATTTAATTAAAGACTCTTAAGTTTTAAAGGGTTTTAAATGCTATACGTTTTGGGGAAATATCAGAAAATGTAGCTTGACTGACGTCAGTTCCCATCTCTGGGATGGGAGGCCATTTGCTATTCTGTTTAAGGCAGGCTGGATTGTCTTATTTTGGAGCCAGCTTGGTGGGGGGTTTTCTTTGCTGCTGCTTCAGAGCTCTGAGCTTCAAAGGCTGAAATTAATGGTGAACAAAATTGTGCGGCTCTGACCATCCCATGCGGGGCAAACCCATCGAGGGTTATCATTAAGTAAAGAAATAAAGAAAAAAAACCCTGCCAGTTCCAAGAAAACCTCATCAGATAATGACCTCTGTGATTGGGTTTTCATTACCAAACAGCATCCAGAGATTGTCTGCCCCATAGAAGAAGAAAAAAAAAAAAAGAAAAGAAAAAGCAACTGTGTCTCTCTCTCTTTCTCTCTCTCGCTCTCTCTCTCCTTTTTTTTTTTGCACATCTTTTCTTTAAACCTGTCAGATCATTTCAGTATTTCAAATCCGAGGAAAACAGCCTGCCTGCTGCTGTATTTGAAGTTGTAATGGTGTCAAAAAGTCACGACTGACTGACAGCCGTCAGTCCCAGAGGAGCTCATTAAATCATAAAAACTTGACAAGGAAATAATTGAGCATCACTGGCAACTTGGCGCCTGTTTAGACGTTTTTATTTTCTTTCATTATTAGTCCCCACCATTACGTTCATTAACAAATTGCATTAAACAACTGTTAAGGGCTAATGATTTGTTTATCGCTTTTTTTTTATTATTATTATTATTATTTAAACATTAGCTGCGTCATGTGGTACCTCAGCAGCCTCATACTATCATCTGACTGAATATTTTTCCACTCAGAGCTCTGGGTACTGCTGGAATATGAAATAGATTATTCATTACCCTCCTCTTTGCCACTGATTTGGTTTCATGTAGCGTCTTCCACAGAGAAAGATGAAAACTTGTCAAAAATAGGTTATATCTTATTCTAAGGGCAACAATAGCAGCAGGTACAGGCACACTTTAATATTTAATTAAGGCTGATGTTAACCCCTTTAAATGACTTTAGCTGTGAGTAATATTCAAGTGCAGAAGAGAAAAATAATGGTACTTAATTTGCAAACTGTACAGCAGGCATTCATCTTCCAGTTACTAGTAAATTCATAGAATAATTTTAAATAATGAAATTTCCAATCATAAATATTTATGTCCACTTTTTTTTTTTTTTTACGTAGTCATAAATGAACCACTTTTGCACGCATCCTAAATAAAAAAAAATCCATGTCCCTTTCTTTTTTTGTTTTGAACTGCACCACTCACATTTCAAAATCTGGTTGGACTTTGTAGGGGGGGAAAGAGCTACATGTGGATCCCCAGTAAAGTTGTTAGCTGCGGTAATGACTTACATGGTTCTGTTTCTAGCAACTTGACAGCTTATGATAAACTTCAGGAGGATGTGGGCTCAGGCTTCTTTTTTTTTTTTTCTTTTGGAGGGGACAGCATGTGTTTTGGCATTTTTTTGGTTTTTGTACAAAACCATGAGAAGGTTTTGGTTTGAAACAGATAAAAATAACTGCTACTTTTTATAGGAGAAGTATTTATCTCTAAGTATATTTTCTCTGTGTAGTTTCAGTTGTTGGTTGTAAATAATCCTCTTACAGAAGGAGAAGCTTCAGGAGAATTTTAAGATGGTAAAAAAGGAAACAGTCAAAAGCAGGGTACATGTTAGGCTTCCTTTGCTTTATAATAGTCAGTCTTTGATCTTTTCTTATTCAATACATCTGAATGCAGTTTGCATTCAGCATTTACGGTGGGTCCCTATGTAGGGCTGATGGCAGAGACGCTGAGCGAGGTGCGATGACGTATCGTGGGATGCTGCAGAGCAAATCCTACTCGGCAAAGCTCCCTCGCACTTCCTTGGGATAATTTGTCACTTCTGGAGTCACGTGGGGAAAGAGGCATGTAGCAGGTGAATATTTTATCAACTACTGCCTGGCAATGGGTGTTATCATACACCCTGAGCAGTCTTTGGCCACAGTGGCCAGAGCAGCACACTGGCTCCTCGCCGTACCCCCAGCCTGCCGTGAGTGCACCGTCCTGGCTCTGGGTGCTCTGTCCCAGCTCTGTGCGTGTCAGGAAACTGAGGTGCATGGTGAAAAGCACTTTAGCATCCTCAAATGCCATGCTTTATTTGTCACACATAAATAATGAAGGCATCTACAGGAGAGGGAGGGGAAAAAAGAGCTTATATACTGAGAACCAGTGAACTTGTGCACTCTTCATCCCTTTATCCAAACAACTGCCTTTGGCGTGAATAACGGCTCAGCTGATACCAAGCTCCATATTGATCTGTTGCTCGAGAAGGTCTGCTGGTAGTTTCTTGGACTTTTCCTGAAGGTATGGCCGTAACAGGTCGGTACTGTTGGGACCTGTGCTTCTATCTCCATCTCATGCCAGACAAGTTCAACAGGGACAGACCCAGAGAGGGGGAGCTCCCAGCCCCCGGTCTGTGCAGCTCTCTGTCTCCCACAAACACACAGACGTGATTACCTCTTCATGTCAGAAAACCTGCTTGAGGGACTGTTGTGCCCAAGTAGGAGTAAAATGGTGTCTGCAGCTGGAGAGGCGTCCTGGATCTGGGAATAGTATGCTTTTCCCCAGGCAGTGAAAATTTTTGTAAAAACTCTATGTAACCTATAAATGCTTCTTATTCTGTGGGGTAGGCTGAGTGTGAGGAGCTGTATCATCCACAGGTGGTACCTCCCCACCATCCAGACACTGCCATGTTTTTGTGAACTGCTGCAGATTTATCTTGCAACTCTGGGAGTGCAGCCTGGGTGCTCCCTCAGTGCTCTTAGCCTTGGCCTTATCACAAGAAGAGATACTGGGTTGTGCTGGTGGTGTAACTGATGAAGGATGTAGAGTCTGAAAGCCAATGTCAGGTTTCCTGTGAGGCCAATGCCTGTTCAGTAATGGGACATTCAGGGGCATACAAAGCGAAAGGGTTAGCTGGATGTCTGTCCTGCCAGGGAGCACTGTTGGAAAGTGAAAGTTTTACACATTTTAAAGGGTCCTAAGCAGTTCTGAGCCATTAAACTCTGTACAGGAAAGCGACCAGTCCCTGCTGTCCTGTGGCCAGAGAGGTCAGTAATGCTGCCAAGCCTGCACTGCCAGTGTTATGGTGCGTGCTTCCTGCTGGCTGCCATGTTGTGACTGCTCTCCTGGACCAAACCCAAAGAAAACCTTCCATTGCTTCTTCTTTGTTCAGTTCCTTTCTCCATTCAGACCCATGACCTTGTCCAGTCAGCACTGTCTCCAGTGAACATGATCTGCTTCTGTGGATTTAATGAACTTTCCAGTTCTCTTCTGCACCCAGCTAAGTAACATTGCCTCTTGCCTGAGCTGCATGCCTTGCCTGCATGTATTTGTCTGTATGTTCTTTTATTGACACTGCTTGAAGGAGTTGCGGCCAGGCATGCCTACCAAAGCAGTAGAAAAATACCCTATGAGTTTACCACAGCACTAGAAAATTGCTTGTAAGTAAAAATAATATTTAGCCTTCTATTCTTAGTAGAAACATGCTTATGCCTTTGCTCTGTCTCATTTGATGAATTTGTCTTCCTACCCCCGCTAACTTTGAGACTTTGACCAAATTCAGGCATATGTAATGGAAGAGCAGAGCTCTCAAAAATTCCTATTGGTTTCAGGAAAAAAAGCAGCCAAGGGGAGAGACATCCCACTGGCATCCCCACCAAGAGAAAGGCTGCAGTGTGACATCCACCCAAATTGGACACTACCTGGGAGGGAGAAATTATAAATGCCTCTCTCCCCAGGAAAAGCTCACATCCCATTTAGATACTAGAGAATCCAACCCCGAGGAAACAAGGCCTCATTAGTGTCATTGCTGGAGGAACTACTTAATTAAAGGACAACAGAGTTGAGAGCATTGTTATGTAGGCCTTTGTTCCTTACACCTGGTCATTTCCATTGATGTAAAATGTCATCTTTCTGATCTGGTAGCATTTTGCACCCAGTTTAGACAAGTATTCCTGACCAGCCAAGGAGGTGCAGAGCAGGGAAGAATCAGACCTTATTACCGAGGTAATTATAGTCTCACCTAACCATCAGGTGAAGGGTGTACACCTCTATTAGCCAGTGCTCCTACAAAGAGAACAAAGGCTGGCTGCAAAGTGGGAGCCACCCAAGGAGCATCCCAGTGTCCAGCTACACCACTCTGGGGCAGCAGACATGCTGGGAAGGTCATGACCACAGGCTCCTGCATCACCCAGTCTCCTGTTTGCTTTCCTGGCTTTAAATCCAACTTGGCTTAGCAACACTGGTGAAGGCCATGAGATGGGGAGGCTAAAACAGGCAACAGTACCGAGGAAATCAGCTCAGTTAAAATGCTAAAGGAGGTGGGGGGTGGCTTTCAAAGCTTGTCCCAGCAACTAGCCTAATTATATTTTCAAAAACCACTGTTGAGTGCTTTTGAAAATTTCATCCTAGATGCTTGGCTCAAAGACCTTAACCAAAGATTTATTTTTTTTTCCCCTGCTATACGAAAGCTAAATATAAACTGACTTTACTGAACAAAAACCTAACAAAACCCCTGTTGCAGGTCTAGAGAAATCTTTACTGAGAAAATCAAATTATTGGAGACCAGTATCTGAAGCGTCCTCCAGGTTTGGATGCCTCTTGTTTTGTGTACACAGTTTGGCATACAAAAAAAAAAAAAAAATTACTAACAGCAAATATTTGCTTTCTGTCCTTTTTATCTTCTCCTTATTTGCCTTTTGTTCTCCTGCCCTCAGAAAATCAAGACCTGAGTGTCTCCGGATGAGCAGTTGCTTTAGGACACGTGGATTAGTCTATTTTACCCATACAAGTAGGTGCATATGTGTGTCTACTGTTTGAACAGCGTCTTAATGACTTTTCCACTGATGGGCTGTGGACCACAGGCAAGTAATAAAGTTGGTCTGTGCCTCAGTTTACCCACCACAACTTCATTAATGCTAACCTACCTCACGAGGTGTTGTAATGTTTAATATATTGTGTGCTCTGTAATCCTTGGATTAAATGTATTATGTAAGTGAAAAGTGCCCATTTGATGTGTATGTAAATGCTGCAGTATTATAGGTAGGAGGGTCATTTGGGTGTAAGTGTAATACAAGCGCTGGCAGAGGGCAAAAGGGATTCCATTGTATTGACTTATTTTTAAAGAGCTTTTTATTTACTCAAATGCTCTGGACACCCAGAAAGAGAGACATTCCTCACTAAGCAGCTCTGCTGTTTCATCTGTCTTGGAGTGCTTTGATAAATGGATTGAAACTTGTCAGCTTTTCCTGTAGTTTCTGAGACTCCCTCTGGAAACTCTGTTGAAATG